TTCACATTCTTTTCATTCTCATTCTTTTTCATTTTATATTTTTTTTCTTATTTTTTTCATTCTTATTCTTAAATTTCTCATTTTTTTTTTTTTATTCTTTTTCCCAAAAATTTTTTTCAATTTTTTTTATTTTTCATTCTTTAATTTTTCATTCAAATTCTTTTGATAATTCTTATTTTTTTTCATTTTTCGAATTTTTTTCATAAACAATATTTTTTTTTTTTTCCCATTCTTTTTTAATTCTTTTTATTCTTTTCATTAATATATATATTTTTTCATCTTTATTCTTTTCATTTTTGTTTTTTTTTTTTCCTTATCTTTTTCATTTTTTTTCTTTTTCATTTTAATTCTTTTCATAAGAACATTCTTTTTTATTTAAATATTTTTTTTTTTTTTCATTCTTTTTTCATATTTTTTTTTCATTTTTTTTTTTTTTTGATTTTTATTCTTTTAGATATATTCACATTATTTTTCATTCTTATTCTTTTTTCATTATTCATTTTCATTCCCATTCTTTTTCATTTTTTTTTTTTTTTTTTTTTTCATTCTATATTTTTAAAGAGACCAAATTTTTCATTCTTATTTTTTTTTCATTCAATTTTTTTTTTTTATATTCTTTTTATTTTTTATTTTTTTCAATCTTATTCTTTTCATTTTTATTTTTTTTCATTCTTATTCTTTTCATTCACATTTTTTTTTCATTTCATTCTTTTCATTATATTTTTTTTCATGTTTATTTTTTTTTCCCATTTATTTTTTTTTCATTCTTTTATTCTTTTCTAGATTTTCATCATTCTTTTTGTTTTTATTCTTTTTTATTTTTTTCTTTTTTTTCATTTTCATTTTTATTCTTTTTATGATGTATTCTTTTTCATTCTCATATATAGATCTTAAATTTTTTTTCATTTTCATTCTTATTTTTTTATTTTTTCATTTTTATTCATTTTCATTCAAATTTTTTTTCATTCTTTATTCTTTTTCAAAAACATCTTTTTTCATTTTCATTCATTTTCATTCCATTTTTTTCATTCTTTCTTTTCATTTTAAGGATAGAATCATTCTCATTCGAAAAATTTTTATTCTTTTTCATTCTTATTCATTTTATACATTTTATTCTTTTCATATTTTTTTTTTTTTTTTATTTTTTTATTGTTCATTCTTTTTTTTCATTTATTCATTTTTTTTTCATTCATTATTCTTTTTTTTAATCATGTTTATATTTTTTTTTTTTTTTTTTTTTAGAGTTTTTTCATTCTTTTCTTTTATTTTCTTTTTTTTTCATTTTTTTTTTTTCTTCATTCTTATTCTTTTCTTTTTTTTTTTTTTTCATTTTCTTTTATTCTTTTTTTTATTTTTTTCATTCTCATTTCTTTTCATTTTGCATTTTTTTTTTTTTTTATTCTTTCATTTTTTTCAAAATTTTTTTCTTTCTTTCTTTTTTTATTCTTTTTATATTTTTTTTTATATTTATATAATATCTTTAATATTTTTTATTTTTTTTCATTCTTTTTTTTTTTATTTCATTTTTTTTTTTTTTTTCATTTTTTTTTTTTTTTTTTCTTCTTTTCTTTTTTATTCTTTTTCTTTTTTTTTATTTTTTTTCATTTTTATTTTTTTGTTTAATTCTTATTCTTTTTTTTCATTTTCATTCAATTCTTTTCATTTAAATTCTTTTTTGAATCATTTTTTCATTCTTATTCTTTTTTTTTCAATTCTCAGAATTCATTCCAAAAAGGATTGAATTCATTTTTTTTCATAGGAATTCTTTTTTTTTTTTTTTTTTTTTTTCTTTTCATTTTTTCTTTTCATTCTTTATTTCTTTTTTTTTTTACATTCTTTTTTTTTTCAAATTATTTTTTTTTTTATTTTTTTTCATTGTTTTGAATTTTTCAAATTTCATTTTTTTCTTTTTTCATTCTTTTTTGATTTTTCATTTTATTTCATTTTTTTTTGAATTCATTCATTTTTTTTTTTTATTTTTTTTCATTCTTTTTTTTTTAAAAATTATTTTTTCATTTTATTTTGTTTTTTTTTTTTTTTTTTTCATTTTCATTTTTTTTTTTTCACATTTCTTTTCCTTCTTTTTCTTAAAATTGAATTCTTTTTCATTCTTTTTCTTTTCATTTCAAAAATTTTCACAGTCATTCTTTTTTTTTTTTTTCATCTTTATTAAACATTTTTCCAAAAAATTTTTTCTTTTTCTTATTATTTTTATTTTCTATTCTTATTTTATTCTTTTCATTTTGATTTTTTCAATTCTTTCTTTTCAAAATTTTTTCTTTTCATTTTTTTTTTTTCATTTTTTCCATATTTTTTCATTCTTTTTCTTTTTTCATTCTTATTCTATTTCATTCTCATATTTTTTTTTTTTCTTTCTTTTTTTTCTCATTCTTTTTTTTCATTCTTTTCATTCTTATTTTTTTTCATTTTTTTAAGTTTTCATTCTTTTTTTTTTTTCATTAACCATATGGAATATTTTTTTTTTCATTTCCCATTTTTTTCATTCTCATTCTTTTTTATTTAGATTCTTGTTTATTCTGAATTCTTTTCACTTTTTTCTTTCTTTTTTTTTTATTTTTTTTCTTTTCATTTTTTCTTTTTTTTTTTTTCTTTTTTTTCTCATTTTTTCATTACATTCTTTTTCATTTTTCTTTAAATTCAGGTTTTTTAATTTCTTGGCATTCTTTTGATTTTACATTTTTTCATTCTTATTCATTTTTCATTCATTCTTTTATTTTTTTTTTTTTTTTTTTTTTCCATTTCTTTTTTCATTTCATTTTTTTTTCATTCCTTTATTCTATTTTCATTTCCATCTTTTTCATTTCAAAAAAGTTTTTTATTTTCATTCTTTTGAAACCAAATTTCTTTTTTTCATTCTTATATTTTTATGAAAATTGGAGAACATTTTTGTTTCTTTTTTTCCATTTTTTTCTTTTTCATTCTTTTGTTTTTTTTCTTTTCATTTCATTCTTTTTCCTTTTTCATTCTTCAGATTTTTTTTTTCATTCTTGATCATATTTTATTCTTTTTCATTTTTATTCTTTTTCATTCTCATTTTTTATTTTTATTCTTTTTTTTTTCTTATTCTTTTCATTCAATTTTTTTTTTTCATTCTTTTCGTTTTGTTTTTTTCTTTCTTATATTTTCGTTTTTATTTTTTTATTTTATTTATTTTTCATTGTTTCATTCTTTTTCATTTTTCTTCTTTTTCATTTTTTTTTCTTTTTCCTTCTTTTTTTCATTCCCATTCCTTTTTTTTTCGATTCTTTTGAAAAATTCTTTTTCATTTCATTCATTTTAATTTTTTCTTTTTCATTTTTTTCTTTTTTTTTTTTCTTTTCATTCCATTTTTTTTCATTTTAAATTCTTTTGAAAAATTTTTTTTTTCATTTTTCATTTTTTTCCATGTTTTATTCTTTTTCATTCTTATTCTATTTTATTTATTTTTTTCATTTTTTTAAAAGAATTTTCTTATTTTTTTTTTCATTTTTTTCATAAAATTTTTCTTTTTTTTTTATTTTTTTTTCTTTTCATTCTTATTATTTTTTCATAACTGTCCTTTTTTTTTTTTCTTTTTCATTTTCTTTTTTTATTTTGTCTATTCTTTTCATTCTTTTCATTTTCATTTTTATTTTTTCTTTTTTTTATTTCTTCTATTTTTTTTTTTTTTTCATTATTTTCATTTTTAATTTTTTTTTTTTCAAATTTTTTTTTTTTTTTCTTATTCTTTTCATTTCATTTTTTTCTTTTTTTTTTTTTCATTTTTATTCTTTTGTTTTTTTATTCGTTTTTTTTTTTTTTTTTTTTTTAAATTGAACACTTTTTTCATTCTTTTTTTTTTTTTTTCATTTTTTTTTTTTCTTTATTCTTTTATTTTTTTTTTTTTTTCTTTATTGATTTTTTTTCAAAGATGTTTTTTTTTTTCTTTTTTTTTTCATTATTTTTTTTATCTTTTTTCTTTCTTTTTTTTTCTTTCTTTCCTTAATTTTTTTTTTCATTCTTTTTTTTCATTCTTTTTTTTTCATTTTTTCATTCTTTTTTTTTCTTTTTTTTTTAAATTCTTTTTTTTTTTGAAATCTTTTTAATTCTTTTTCATTTTTGTTTATTTTGTATTTTTTTTTCTTTTCATTTTTTTCTATTAAATATAGTTTTTCTTTTTTATTTTTTGTTCTTTTCAATTTGGAATTTTCATTCTGGAATTTGATTCTTTTTTCTTTCAAAAAAACATTAAATTTAAAAAATTCTTTTTCTTTTTTATTTTCATTTTTTTTTTCTTTTTTTTTTTTCTTCATTTTTTTTTTAATTTTTTTTTTTTTGAAGAGCTTTTTTTTTTTTATTTTTTCATTCTTTCTTTTTTTTTTTTTTCTTTTGTTTTTAAAATTTTAAATTCTTCTTTTTTTATTCTTTTTCATTTTTTTTTTTTTTTCTTTTTTTTTTCATTTTGAGAGTTTTTTTCATTTTTCAATTCTTTGAATTTTTCATTCTAAAGAATTTTCATAAATTTCATTATTTTTTTTGAAATTATTTTTTTTTTTTTTTTTTTCTTTTTTTTCATTCTTCTCCTTTTTTTTTTTCTTTTATTTTCATTTTATGATTTTCTTTTATTTCTTTCATCATATTTTCCTTTCTTTAAATTCATATTCATTTTCATTTCTTATTTTTTTTATTCTTATTTTTCATTATTTTTTTTTTTTTTTCTTGTTTTCTTTTTTTCTATTTCTTTTTTTTCTTTAATTCATTCTTATTTTTCCAAATTGTTTTTCCTTTTTCATTTTTTTTATTTTTTCATTCTTAATCTTTTTTCATTTTCATTTTTTTTCATTTCTTTTATTTTATTCTTTTTTCATTTTCTTATTTCCTTTTTCTTATTTCATATTCTTTTTATTCCATAATTCTTTTCATCTCTCTTCGTTAATTCCTATTCCTTTTTTTTTCCTTTATATTCATTCTTAATTTTTTTATCTCCTTTCTCTTCATTGTTAGAAAAAGAAATTTCGTATATGACTATTCCTTATTTTTTATTTCATCTCTCTTCGTTAATTATTCTTTTTCTATTCTTTTTTTTATATTCATTCTTATTCTTTTATTCTCCTTTTCTTTATTTCCTTTCATATTTTTTATATGACTATTCCATTCTTTTCTTGTTCATTCTCTTTTTTAATATTTTTCCTTCTCTTTCCTTTATATTCATTCTTATTCTTTTATTCTTTTTCTCTTCATTCCTTTCATATTTATATATTTATTCCATAATTCTTGTTCATCTCTTCGTTTCTTTCCTATTCCTTCTCTTTCCTTTTTATTCATTCTTATTCTTTTATTCTCCTTTCTCTTCATTTTTTCATATTTCGTTTTATATGACTATTCCATAATTAATTTGTTCATCTCTTCGTTAATTCCTATTCCTTCTCTTTCCTTTATATTCATTCTTATTCTTTTATTCTCCTTTCTCTTCATTCCTTTCATATTTCGTATATGACTATTCCATAATTCTTGTTCATCTCTCTTCGTTAATTCCCATTCCTTCTCTTTCCTTTATATTCATTCTTATTCTTTTATTCTCCTTCTTCTTCATTCCTTTCATATTTCGTATATGACTATTCCATAATTCTTGTTCATCTCTCTTCGTTAATTCCTATTCCTTCTCTTTCCTTTATATTCATTCTTATTCTTTTATTCTCCTTTCTCTTCATTCCTTTCATATTTCGTATATGACTATTCCATAATTCTTGTTCATCTCTCTTCGTTAATTCCCATTCCTTCTCTTTCCTTTATATTCATTCTTATTCTTTTATTCTCCTTTCTCTTCATTCCCTTTTATGCCTTTTATGGATTATTCCATAATTCTCGTTCGTTATCTTTCCTTCTTCCTCGTTCATCTATTTTAATTCTTTTTATATCTTTATTTTTCTTCTTAGTCATTACTTTATTTTCCCTTTTCCTCATTCGTTTATATATATTTTTTTATTCTTTTGTTCTACCTCATTCCTTTATTTTTATCCTTACTTTTTCCCTTTATTCTCGTTATTTTTCATTTCTTTATTCTCATTCTTTTGTATTTCTTTTTCTCTTTCATTCTCATTCCTTCAATTTAGTTCTTCATTCTTTTATTCTCCTTCTTCACCAATCGTTTATTTTCATTCAATTTCATTCCTTAATTCTTACTCATTACTTTATTTTCATTCTTCCTCATTCTTTCTTTCCCCATTGCTTCATTCTCTTTCTTCCTCATTTGTTTATATTCTTTCTTCCTCATTCCTTTATATTCATTCTACCTTTTTTTCTTCTTTTTAATCTTTCTTTCTTCCAGTTGCCTTTTCGTCTTATTTGATTTCCTCCATATTTTTCGGTCCTGTCTGATAGAGAAGAAAAAGAAAACACTTGTAAAAGATGTTATAAAAGATATCACAATTTTAAAGATGGCTTCCACAGAGAAACACGTGATACCCTCTGAGTTCAAGTTAAAAAAAAAATACAAAGTGAAAGAGCCATAATGATTCAGAGAAATTCAAAACGTGGCTGACCGGATCTTTTTCAGTCAGGTTCTTTTGTTTTATTACTTACACTCCACAGCTGTTATGTACAATATTCAACGTGAAAAATGCCGGACGCCATCAGTATCCATTGCATTTCAAATCTTATAGCAGGACGCATTATTGTAAGTCCTGAGAGGAAAGTAGATTTGCCTGCAATGAACCCGATACGACTCTGACAACAATATTAAGCCACTTACATTCGGCGGTGTTAACCCATCTGACTTGTTGCAACTCTCTGAAGAGAAATCATTTACTAAGATAGAAGAGAAGGGTAGGGCTTGAGGTGAACGAGCGCCAATCAGTGAATCAAATTGGTATGGACAGTGCATATTATAGGGAACGAGCAAGTATATTTAAGAGACATTGGAAAAGATAGAAAGACGAAACGAAGAAATAAAAGAGAATTAAATCACCCGAAAGACCCCTTCCCGCCTTCCATCACTATGGCTGATATTAACCTCCATGAATTGTTGCAACTTCTCGGGGTAACATTCTCGGCTGACATGAAGGAGAAAGATTATATTGAATCCAATGCTATTTCAGCTGCTAAAAATGTTAGTTCACTGTGTTGTGCGGGACCATTTTTTCTCTCCTGAATCTATCTTACATATTTATGAGTCTACCATTCGTCCATGCTTTAAATATTTCTGCCGCATATAGCCCGATGTTCTTTCTATGTATCTATACATCCCTTGATAAAATCTAAAAAAAGAATCAGCAATATTATTGGTCCTGAGATGGTATCTTGGTTTCAGTCGCCTTCCAACTGCAATAAACTTGCTACCATGTGTCTCTTCTATAAATACTTCCACGGTTATTTTTTCGATGAGTTTTACTCCATGATAGCAAGACTTTATGAATTTAAACATATTACTATAACATTTCAAGTCTAATTTGGGGCTACTCAAACTCATTTTCGGACGTAGCAAATTCAAAATGAAATAGTCAAGTTCAAAATTGAATAATCAAATTCAAAATGGAACATAGCAAATTCAAAATAAAATTAGCCAAGTTCAGAATGGGACGTAGCCAATTCAAAATAAAATTAGCCAAGTTCAGAAAGGGACGTAGCAAATTCAAAATAAAATTAGCCAAGTTCTGAATGGGACGTAGCCAATTCAAAATAAAATTAGCCGAGTTCTGAATGGGACGTAGCCAATTCAAAATAAAATTAGCCAAGTTCTGAATGGGACGTAGCAAATTCAAAATGAAATAAGCAAATTTGATTTGGAAGGAAGCAAATTCATAATGAAATAAGCAAATTTGATTTGGAAGGAAGCAAATTCATAATGAAATAAGCAAATTTGATTTGGAAGGAAGCAAATTCATAATGAAATAAGCATGTTTGAATTGGGTCTAAGCAAATTCATTATGGACTAGGCGAGTTCAAACTGGAACTATCTATCTTTTTCCATCAATAGTGATTAGAATTTGAAAGGAAAATCTAACACGTATATTAAGGGGGGGAGGGGGTAAATGATAAAAGTGGGAAACTGGGAAATTTATTTGAATGGTAACTGGACTTTATTAATTTACTTCTCACTGACGCTTATGTTATTCTCAGTTATTTATTTATTAAATATTTAAAAATCAATTTGAAACTAAAAGTATACATGCAAAAATACATATGTGCATATGTATTAATGTTTCTACTTGATGTGGGGCCAAAGTTGGGACCACAGAAGGAAAACACGGAACACGGATTAGATGTAAGAAAGATATATTAACAACAGGTTACAGAGATAGTGTAAGCGGAGCTTACTATATGTTAGTGTCAAAATACTGGTAGTCGTACGCGGCTGTCACTGTCTCTCTCTGTCACTCTGTGTAGAGTGCTATGTCGCCTACTTAATATAGGCCTGGAAGAGTCTATTGTGTAGGTACTTCCGGTCTCACAATACTACTTTATATCGGAAACGTGTCACTTATACAAGAAAATGACCTCCAGTAGATGGTTTTTGTGAATGTTTCACAAATCTCCAATGCGACAAAACATAACTGTATCATACTCTCGTATATATCAGAGCGTTTGACGTCGGTGGTCGTAATTTATGTCAATTACGCCATTTTTACAAAGCTATTCAAATTTCACATACCGGATGTATTCATTTCTTTTGTAAGTAACAATGATGGAAAGGAAAATGTTTAGAACTTATCAGCGTTTCAATAAACAAATATTATGGATTAAAGATCAACTGGACGGTAAATCAGATCATTAAAAATCTGACCGCAGCGTTGCGTAGATTTTACTAACAATTCATTACAAGAGTTTATTCTTGAACGGATAAATTTGTGTCAAAGTTAGAGTTTCTGGCACTTTCATTGTTAAGACAATCAGGGAGAAGAGAAGAATAAAGAGATGGACAGATAATATATTGTGTTAAAAAAAAAGAGAGAATAAGAGAGAGTTATTCAAAATGAAATGATTTGGTGGGGGGGCAACAGGTCAAATCTCGAAAGTCCTAAAAAAAGCAACAAGGAAATATTGAACGCAGATATCAAAACAGAGTTTGAAAAAAGATAAGGTATAGTGAGAGAGTTTAAGCGCTGAAAATTGCATCCAAAAAATATACACCTTTCATGACTTTTCTTGATTTATTGATTGCTCCGAGAAGCAAAACATTTCAATAGTAAAGTTTAGTTTAACATTATTATTTTATAATGAAAATATTTAATTGTAAAGTTTTTAGCAAGGAAATTGCTCTGTCCCAAATTGAATTTGCCTAATCCATTTTGAACTTGCTAAGTCCCAAATCAAATTTGCTTATTCTATTTTAAATTTGATTATTTCATTTTGAATTTGCTATGTCCCATTTTGAATTTGAATATTCCATTTTGAATTGGCTGTCCCATTTTGAATTTGACTATTTCATTTTGAATTGGCTATGTACCAATTTGAATTTGACTATTCCATTTGGAATTTGACTATTCCATTTGGAATTTGACTATATCCCATTTTGAATATGACTATTCCATTTTGAACATGGCTATTTCATAATGAAATTGCTAAGTCCCAAAATGAACTAGAAATAGTATAGATTGTCAGCAAGGTCTCAGCATTTTACAGTTGATTTGTCTTGAGGTAAAAAGTTCTATGCTTGCAATTTTTTCGGCTTCAGGCATTCCAGTCCTACTTTGATCTTCAAAAATTCAAATAAAATGTCAATCGTTACCTACTGTCTTTTTTATTATCTTTTATTGTTTTCCCTTAATTTTTGACTGGTTTCCAGGCAACTTTGCTCTTCAAAAATTCAAATGACATGTCAATCGTTATCTACTGTCTTCCTGATTCCTCTTCTATTGTTCTCCCTTATTCATTCACATTTAGTAGTAGCTTGTATCTTAGTGGCTTTACTGCTTTGCATCGGAGGAAACGGTTTTTTAAAAGTGTTAAAGAAAAATAAGGAGGTGATAAAAAGAATCGGAGACAGAACTGAATTTGGAATATCAATTTAAAATGCAGAAGAAATAACAGAAGAAACTTCTTCTATGTAGCGCATCCCTACAGGACTTTGGCGGTCGTGGCTCGCCACATGAAGGTGAATAAACGAATAAAGAATAAGAAAAAATATGTACAGGAGACAGATTTAAAGAATGAAGGGAAACGAGGATAACGGAATAGTGGTTAAACAGAATGTAACGGAATTAGAATTATGGAATGAAAAGAAATGTTTGGAAATGTTCAAAAAAATAAGAAGAAATTGGAATGACTCGCAAGAACGAAAAATACGGAGGAATTAAGAATTAAGGATTAAAACGAACGATAATATGTCGAGGAAAATTGAAATAGTGAAAGAAAAGAAGGAAATGAAAATTAAAAAATAATACGAAATGTAGGAAAAGAATAGACAAAAACAACAGATTGGTATTTTACATATTGACATAAACAGATACATACATATATACATACATACAGGTGAACAGCGTGAGATAGATAGATAGATAGATAGATAGATAGATAGATAGATAGATATGAACAGACTGACATAGATAGATAGATAGATAGATAGATAGATAGATAGATAGATAGAAAAAACTGTGATATATGTATATATAGATAGAAAGAGAAAGAAAAAAGTCTGAGAAAGAAAGAAAGAAAGAAAGAAAGAAAGAAAGAAAGAAAGAAAGAAAAGTCATATATTGGAACAGGCTGAGATAGATAGATAGATAGATAGATAGATAGATAGATAGATAGATAGATAGATAGAAAAAGATTGAGAAAGAAAGAAAGAAAGAAAGAAAGAAAAAGAAAGAAAGAAAGAAAGAAAAGAGATAGATATGAACAGGCCAAGATAGATACATACATACATACATATGAACAGACTGACTTAGATAGATAGATAGATAGATAGATAGATAGATAGATAGATAGATAGATAGATAGATAGAAAAAACTGAGAGAGAGAGAAAAAAGTAAAAGACTGATTTCAATAGATAGATAGATAGATAGATAGATAGATAGATAGATAGATAGATAGATAGATATGAACAAACAAGTATAGATACATAATGAACAGGCTGAGATAGATAGATAGATAGATAGATAGATAGATAGATAGATAGATAGATAGATATCAAGCCTGATTAGCAAGAAGAAACTCTTTATACATAGGATGTATTTGAAACACAAGAATACGAACACCCAAGTAAGAAAAGCGAATTAGAGAGTGAATAACGCAAAGAAAAAGAAATAAAAGAATGTGCTTCACCAAATGTGACCCACTGTACAGAATGCATTTGATGGGGAAGGGAAACAAA